AAAGTGTTAATGCTGCAGATAGTTGCCTTTTTTTAAAACCATGATCAGATTTTTTTTAATTAATCCCCAAAGTTACAGTTTTGCAGAATTTTTAAGATGGTGCAAATGCAAAAGGCTTTATCAGGCTATTAAAAGTAGATTTAGTGTAAGCGTGCCTTTTCAATTATGCTCGTTAGGCTTCTATCTCTTGGACACCTAATTGTCCTCCGTAGCTTTGACAGGTAGCTTTTTCTTTTCCGTTAATCTGCAAGTATTTAAGGGTAATTTCATCCGTGAATTAATGAAGTGGGTCGTTCTGGTCCCTAAATGAATTCTTTTATTTAACCTTAAAACCACTGTTATCCGTCCTTTAGTAGGCTTATTTATTTCTAACTTCAACTCACAAGCAATTAATTTATTTCAATGCACTGTTATGCGCATGTGCAAACCTACTGTTAAACTCAGGCAGGATTTTATTGATAAATTTAATCGCATATGAAACCTTTCTGTAGAGCAGGAAAGTTTCCATAGCTTTATCTGCGCATTAGCTGATCATGAACTCATATGGATTTTTTTTGCACTTTGTTTGAAAGACCAAACTTTTTTTTTTTTTTGCTTTAAAATTATTTTGATATCTAAAACACGCAACTCAGCAGCAAATAAAAACATTTTATATGTCGATCCAGGCTTTTAATTTGACAATCCCCCCCAAATATATAATGAGTACAACGGAATGTAGCATTAACTTTTACGACCAGAATTAATTTAATATGGTTGACGATTAATTTTAATAATTGTTTAATTTTTTTGGAAATGTGTCAAAACTCGATAAAAGTTCCAGTGAGACGCTTTAAAATCTCTGTACAGTTTTTTCGTGATCATATCAGGTAATGAAACCTGAATAAGTATTTCTCTTGTCTTTCATGTCACCATCTTTGCTCCAGGTGTCTACCTTTGCTCAGATTTCTCCACAGTGACGCAGCGTTCACGCGCCTCATCCAAGACAACAAATCGGTTATAATCTGAGAGCAGCTCTCGTGTTGAATCTCTACATCCACGTCCACGTTTGTGACGACTTTCACTGTTTTTAATGATCAAACCCGCGTGTTTACAAATGCTGCACTGTTTTTTTTTCCTTGAATTTGCTCATCAGGCCTTCAGTCGAGTTCATTTATTGGACTCCTTCTTCCAAACCAATCACTTTCACGAGGCTGTTAAAATTGATATGAAAGTTCGTCTTATCAAAACCAGAGAGGATGGCTGCTTTGTCGTGAGTGACACTTATTTATTTGGGATCGCTCTCATATAAAGAGTACACTTTGTACTTCATGATGAGATTGTTATTGGAGGATTCTATATATTAAATGCGCGTGCAGGATGCAGTGCGCGTATCCTTTACATCTGCCGGGTGGTGTACATTTGGACTTTATGGCATTTGTAGAAATCAGATGGAATTAAACTTAAATTCTGAAATGTTTTTTAATTCTTTATTGAAGGTTTGAGTCATTGACTTTTTGTTTCTTTTGAGTCCATATGGGATCGATATCTTCATTAACATTTTTGACATAACCATAATGTACCCAGGCTGCTTTTAAATGTTTCTCAGGCCAGACCTCTCCTGCTGACTCAAGTTTTTCTTCTCTGCCTTTTTTCTTCTCCGACTTTTCCCTTATCTTTCCCTTCTTTTTATCTTCTTACATTACAATCATTATTTTTGTAGATTATTCGATAATCGTGAGATCGTGATTTTGGACAAATTATTATAACAAACCACAGAGAGCACTTGCAGGAATTCATGCACCAGCAGGCCCACAGTCGTGGTCGTGTTTGCGTTTGGGAAACACCGTCGGTGCTGCGTGGGAGTTGTCATTACCAAGTTCTACAAAACTTTCGTTAGTTGTGTTGACTCGGTAATGGAGAAACATGCCTCTCGGAAATCCACCACAGTTCCGTTTGCAGCTGCGTAGGCCTTGTGTGCGTGTGTGCGTGTGTGTGTGTGCGTGTGTCAGAGAGAGGGAGAGCGAGACCTTGTGCGTAAAAGTGAGAAGAAAACGCACACCTTTTCCCCTGACAGCTCTGCAAAGTATTTGATTACATAAGTTTTTCTTTAGATAAATAAAGTTTAAATTTTAAAAGTTATCTTAGAGAGGACTGTTTTTGCATTTAAGCAATAAAAAAACGTCTTCTGGAAGTTGTCACCTACTACACTAAAGATTTTAACAATATCCATTATGTAGATTATTATACGATACAATAATATGAAGTGTAGGTATAATGTACAGTACGTTATATTAACGATCGGTTAAGATCGGTTAATATGAGATATGTTGTTTTGCAAACTCACTAAAAGAATATTAACAGACATATACCTAAACCATGTTTACAACACTAACACACATATACAGCACATCTATACCTGTATTATGCCCTCCATGACTGACTAGTGTCTTTATGACTGCTCACTGATAATTGCAAAGTATAAAATTAAATCATTTTTCTTCAGATAAATACAATTTTGAGTGTTGAGAGTATGTTTCTGGAAGACGAATCCTTCTATATTATAAATCTGTAAGATATCTTTACCATGCCTTACACTACTATGAGGTGTATCATATATACCTTATATAAGTAGTGTTGCATCTAGATATGTTTATTTGAAACAAACTCAAAGTGAAGAAGCACATGTTTAAATAATGTTGGCTTCCATTTTTAACCCCCTGCTTTCAACACTAACACACTAAGCTGCAGATCTATACCAGTGTCAATATAACAGTTTACTAATGGATCACCATTCCGCTCCGGTTGATGGAAAAACAGCCGCAAATGCAAAGGACATATTTGAGAGTGTACACTGCATAAAGTGCCAGCTTTAGTCTGGTGTTGTCAAACTGCGTCTGTGTCTTCCTAAAATCAGATTATTCATCCTCTGTATGTGAAGTCTCGTTGCATTTGCCATCTAAGTGGTTTCTGTGTGAATTATTTCATTATTTCTGGCTGTGCGCGCACGGTGAGGCCATCTTTTTGCTCTGTCACTGAAAGGTGAGCAAATATATATGTAGGTCGTAAGTGTGTGTGCACGCACAGTCAGCGCAAACCTGGCTCCATACACTTCCATCAAATTCAAGAGAATCCTGCGGTTTGTTGTGAATTTTATATGTCAGAATATGGAGTCCACTAAACCCGTGTGAAGCCACACAAGCCCAAACATAGCCTGTCTTAGCTTTACATTTTGTTCTCCAGTGTAATTGCGTATTTTTGGATCATATATTCTCGGTCGTGGGAGTTGTTCTTTACACTCTCCTACGGGGGATTATGTTTGGATAGTACGAGGTGTATTCATAACATTTGGGGACAAAATTGGTGTCGTCAAATCTCCAGACACTACACAGACCTACAGACCAAAGGCATGGTTGATTAATCAGTGAAGCACAGCGTTTTCCTTGTCCAATAACAGAGACACAATGTTGGCCCAAGATGTCTGATGATGCACTTCAAATGACCAAATCAAGATAAAGGTTAATAGACTTGATCTCTGCATGTCTTGAGGCTGTCACTATGGAGGAGAAGAGGAGTTTGTGCGTAATGGCGCATGAGGCAGCAAATATTAGATGGGATCCATCCACCAGAATGGGATTAAGGCGATGTTTAGAGGAGAAAAAACCGGGGTGGGGGTATGGAAGGAATTATTATGTGGGGTATAAACCAATACCATTCCTGCGCACACTGCTCCCCCATCACCTCCACCCTCCCTCCCCCCTTGATCTACGTCGCGGACCTAGCTTCCGCTTCGCACGGTTGGTCATTGATGCACAGTGTAGGGTTGGAGAGGGAGCGCGCGCGGCAGAGAAGGAGAGAGAGAGGGGGGAGAGACGTAGATCTGACAGGGCAGAGAGGCTGGAGAGAGAGAGGAGGGAAGAAGGAGGTGACGGAGCTGCTCCTTTGGGAGTCGGATACAGCGTACTGTTGGGTGCTATCGGCGGGGTTGAGTCACAAAACGGTCTTCGGTTGTAAAAATGCCCCAATAAGGCACCGAGTAGCGTCTTGTAGCTGTCACCGAGCTCCGTGAGGGTCTCCGTACCGCCACGCTTTGTGGGAAAACCTGGACTAAAAACCCAGAGAGGAAGGATTCATGGAGAGTCTGTAGCAGCTTCTCTGAGAAAAACGCCTGGATTATCGGATTCCGGACGGAGGACTGGACGTTTTTTTGCACCGTCTGGAGCCTTCGAGTGTTTTTGTTTTTTAGGTAAGCTGATCCTGCTCTGACCCGGGTTCTGGTCTTCATAGCACCATTACATAGCCTTTTCCATCGTTGTATATTACGCTACTCTACGTTACTGTAATCGCCGCTACTGTCTGTGAAGAAGTGACACCGTGTCTGCGTGTATCGTGGGGATTTCTTACCAGACTACACAGTGTTCTGGTCAACAACATGTCGCGATATAACGATAAAGCTCACGTCTTTTGTTTGGGGGGACATGAGTTTGAAACAATGTTTATTGAAGCGTAGGGATCTGCTTCAATGTTTGAAGACTATGATCGTGCGTCTTAATGTACTTTACTGTGGATAAATACTGTGGATTGTGTGATTTTCTCATAACCAATCAATGATATATTACTCTAAAGTAGCCTAAATCAGACCAGATATCATCTAACGCAAACCTAATAGACCTAGGGGTTATTTAAAACTTGAAAATTAATGCTTTATTTCACTCTTATGGCTTTAGAATTTTAAACTACAAACTTAGATGAAATGAAAACATGTTGCGCTTTTTAAAAGGCATTAAATGCTGATATTTAACCTGGGTAAACACCACTAAACCACTCAATGTGAACACAAAGAAACGTCCTCTTTATGGGAAAGAAACTATCTGTTTTTTATCTTTTCTGGGCATATAAAAGCTGTTGAATTAAATTTATTTACAGCGTTTGGAATGAGACCTGGACATCCCCCATGCATGCACATTTTCACTTCTCTGTTTTGGCTCTTCCAGCTGGGTCAGTCCTTTTTTCGTGCTCCGGTCATGGCGGACCAAGAGGAGACTTTTGGCCTCCCTAACTCCCCCGGCGGCTCGGATTCGAGGGAATTACCGAGCGAGAATAAAACAGAGAAACAGAACGGGACCTCGAGCAAATCCCCGTCATCACAGACAACTTACATCCAGCAGGTTAGTAACCATCTCTCTGTCTGTCCGTCTGACTGTCTGTCTGTCTGTCTGTCAGTCTGTCTGTCGAGGCCTCACTTTCACTGCTGCTGCTCCCGGAGTGACGGGCCAGGCCGCTTGTGTGGACCTCTGGGGTCAGACTCACTGCATGGAGTGGAAAACCACAAGACTGTTGTTTTGAGCGTGAAAATATTCGAGAAATATGCGAGGAAATGTCCACTGATGGTGTGAACAAATTATCATGTAATTAATTGAAAGCAAAGTTTTTGTTATCCCAACTTTTTATGTTATTTTGTGTTTTATTTTACTTTTTGGAATCTCTATAATTTTTAAAAAGAAGGAAATCACTAAAGATTTTGTTGTATTTATCTATCAGCTTAATTTGTGACTTAATTTGGGTCATTAGTGATACTATAATATATGTACATTTTACTACCATTACCTTGGTCCTGTTATTTTTTGTGTTATTGTAAAGCTCCAGCAGTTTTAAAGCTTTTATTGTAACACCTTCATCTTTAATTCCTGAACAGTTCATATACATTATTATTATTATTATTATTATTATTATTATTATTATCATTATCATTATCATTATTATTATTATTATTATTATTATTATTATTATTATGCGCGCACGTGCAAACGCCCAGACTTATTATTGCGTAAATTTGAAACTGGTCATTTATTTTATCTTTTTTATTATTTACATTTGGTGTATTTGACAGTAAACTATCTGATATCTCACAAGGCCTTAAAACCCAGTTTCACTTCAGCACCACAGACACCTCTGTGTGCGTAAATTTAGTTACAGGCCTTTAACTGTCTTTGTGCGTAAACTACGAACACGATGGTGTTTTATTTTGAAGGGCATGGAAGGAATAAAAGTCTACCTGCACGAGAGAGAGCTATGGATAAAGTTTCACGAAGTGGGAACGGAGATGATCATCACCAAAGCAGGGAGGTAAGACAACAACAACAATAACAATATTATGATGTATCAGTGTTATTAAAGCTAAAAGTTCTCGGTTTCTGGCTGCGTATGAATAAAATGAACGTTTTCAAGGCCTAGACTGAAAATATTCAGTATACACTATCGGACTCGTTTGCGAGGTTTCATTTATCTTTAGTGGGGAATGTGGAAATCTACACCATGAGGGACCACAGAGAAAACACAGAGCATCTGGTGGACGCTTTAACGCTCACGAGAGCATACACTCCATATTCTAGTCTGGATGTCCGTGTTTGGGAATGCAATGATATCCACAAATGTGCGTAAAAGGACGAATACATTCAACAGTACAAAGTCTGATGTTGTTTGGAGGAATATCTCATTGATTTAAACGTAATTTTGTCCGTATTTCCTCTACGAACTGCGTCTGTGAGTGTGCGTAATTGTGCGCAGACTCCCCTTGCGTGCAACACTTTACGCAGACTGTACATGTGTCACGCTGTCTGCTGTTCAGTCGCCCTCAGATTGCATCCAGTCAAAATACCGCCCGTCGGCTGAGTGTGAACGTGCACATATGCTCGATGGCGGCTGGTGTCTGCTGCTTCATGATGGCTCAGATGTGGGAACTATAAGTGATGAATATTTACAGTATAACGCGCAGCTACATGTTAATTGCAGGTTTAAGTGTAAGCAGGAGGTAGTTGTTTCCTCGGCGCTGCTTTGAGTCTCCTCTACATCCCTGTCAGTCATTTCCCTCCTGTTTCGGGGGGTGAGAAATGATATTACCCATGCATCCTCCCCCCTCTTTCTCTTCTTCCTCGTCCTCAGCCCTTTCCATCCGCTCAGAAGCTGCTTAACCTTCCTCACATAGTGTGTTTTTCTCCCTGTATGACAGCTCTCAAATATTCCAATTGATTTACTGAACGAATCCTGCAAAAATCTGGCCCACAGTGAAAAAACGTTTTATTATACGCAGGCCCCACGCCCTGCCCTGAAAATAGTCGGTACCTCTCCAAGGAAAACAGTCATTTATTTGACATTTTAAACCGCCCCACGCGAGCAGACTGCTTTAGAGTTACGTTTGCAGACATGAATAATCAGAGAAGTGAGTAAGTCTTGTGCTTTATCCTGAAAATACACGTTTGTTTCCCTCACTAAAAGCACGTTTGAAAATTTCTGAATCTAGATGTCAGGTTTCTCATTCTGAGCAGACAACCATGAAAAAGACACCACAGTCTATTTTTTGCCTGCCTCCCTTTTTCCACAGTTGGACAGAAATACCATATATAGCTCTATAAACCGTCTCTTTGTCCTTTTACAGGCGAATGTTCCCCAGCTTCAAAGTAAAGGTCACGGGATTAAACCCCAAAACTAAATATATCCTCCTGATGGATGTTGTTCCTGCAGATGACCACCGGTACAAATTTGCTGACAATAAATGGTAAGTGAAAATCAAACACAAAAAAAAAAACAGAAAATTGTTTAGAAATTACGCACAAATTCCGTTAAGAGAGGTCACTGTTTTGGGGGTCACATTAACTCCTCTCTGTGGAGTTTACCCCAACAGGAAATTTTGTTTTGTTGTCCTGATGGACGAGAGTCGGAAGTGGACATATTAATTCCCCAAGAGTTATGAACTGTGCGTCTTCTCATGCGTGCCAAGAAAAGAAGTCAGCTGGGAGAAATGTCTCTGCCGGGCCTGACTTTTCAGCGATGATTGAATGTTTTTTTACCACCAGATTTGCAACAAGGCTGTCTTTCTGTGCAGGGCACAAACGCAGCTATTTGTTTAGTGTCATGTCTATCTCTCTAACCTTGGGCAGGAATGCCTTGTGTGGGTCAGCGCCTCTCAATGAGGGCTTACTTAAAGAGGATAATCACATGCCAATACTGCCGATAATGACCTGTCCAAAGCATGTCCTGGAACTAATTCTCCTCTTGATCTAACGATGTTGGAAAACAATGTCTACCAGCTCTAATCTGACCACTGACAACCCGAAAAACAGGGATTATAAACGTCACACGAAGGCACCAGAGGTCATTTTTGGTTTAGATAAACTTAAAGAAGACTTAATGAAAAGTTTTACGAGTGGACATCCTGGTGGCGTGTGCGTAAAAATCCAGTGCGTAAGTGGAAAGAAAACAAATGACGCCTACATACTTGATTCAAAGGGTCGTTTTGTTCCAAGTTTTTGTTTTAATAGAATTTTAAGTTTTCTTTCAAATGTGTCACAGGAAATGAAAACAGTCTCAGTGCAATTTATATATCTTTATTCACAATATGCAGCATCTAATTCAGAAAGTTGCTGCGTAATTTTAGATTTTTCGTTAAAATAAGCTTCTTCAGTTTAGGTGATGGCTGCATACTTTTCTCTTTTTCCCTTAACATGTCCACACTATAATTTAGATAATTAATTGCAACTTTTTCATTCCAAATATTCCGCATTCATCTCAGATAGCCTAACCCACGCCTGATTTCTTCATTTTGATAATGAAAATAAAACTCCAGGTGAAAGGGGAACTCTCCAGCTGACTTTTTTCACTCCCCTCCTCACAGCTGTGGGTGTTAACAGTGTAACTGTTGCTGTATTTTAGGTCTGTGACCGGGAAAGCAGAGCCCGCCATGCCCGGCAGGCTCTACGTGCACCCGGACTCTCCTGCCACCGGCGCGCACTGGATGAGGCAGCTCGTGTCCTTCCAGAAGCTCAAACTGACCAACAACCACCTGGACCCGTTCGGACACGTAGGTGCCTATTGGCCTGTCATCTAAACTATTTCACCGTGCCCACGTGCGCGCGCGTGAGTGTGTGTGTGTGTGTGTGAGAGAGAGAGAGAGAAAGAAAGAGGGAAAGAGTGCGTGTGTGTCAGCGCGTGAGCACTTTTAAAGCTGCTGCTGCTGCTGCGTGGATCACAGTGGTGTGTTTTGGTTTGTGGCGTTACAGCTGAGGAGTGTGAGGGAGTAATTGCAGTTACAACTATTTTATCACTATTATTATTTTATAATTATTTTTAGCCTATTATAACATTTTTTTCCTAAACATAATGTGTCAAACAAAAGGACAATAATTTAGATGGATTTTTTTTAACATATACTTCAGTTTTTTAAGTCCTGAAAAACCGAAAAATTAACAAAAATTAAGGGTGAAAAAGGGGGGTTAATTATCCAACATTTATCTTTATTCAAACAAATAAAAACACAGATAAACAGTCAAATATCAAAAGTCCAAAAAGATATAATTTTACTTAAACACAGGTTTAAAAAGTTTTGAAAAATCTGTTTAAAAGTTGTTTAAACCATTATTAAAGTTTTGTTTTTAATTTGCTCTTTAACCAATAAATACCCAAACTGGTAAAACAATGACTCACTATCAAAACAAGTCATTTACCTTAATGTTTTAATAAGAAGAAAAACACACAACCCCTCTCCAAGTGTGCTTGTAAAACACTGTTTTGTACAATTGAATAATAAAAAAAAGTCCAAATTTTCTCTGTTAAAAAAAACTTTTAAAACTTTAAATAAATAAATAAACCCAGGCTCACTAAACTTCCTCACTGTTGCACAACAACTGTTGCAAAAACCTTTAAGCAATAAAGCTGCATTTAAATTTAAGAAACTTGTTGCAACTTGGTTTAATCTGTAGGATAAAAAGTTACACAAACTTTGAAGTCTGTATGTAATTTTCAAAAAAAGAGAGAGAGAGAGTGAAAGTGCAATCAGCCAAAAAGCTCCAAGTGTTTTTACTTAAAAAAAAAAAAAACTGTCTGCAAATTACATCAAGATTTTCCCTTTTACCGACAATCAAAAGTGAAGTATTTTTGCAATCTTGGATAAAGTACAAACTCATGGTTTTACAAATGGGATCAATTTGCTGCAGTGTAACTTGTGTTTTCTGTTAAATTTCTACAAACACAATTAAACAAGACAGATAAATCCCAACAAGTGATCGTATTTTTAGTAAAAAGAAGCAGAAACATCTTCAAAATGAAATGATCCCAGAACAAGAGTGGGGTTGTGGCCTTCAGAGAGTTTTATGACATAGATATGGACAAGTGATTGATTTGATAATGTGAATTCAAAATGTCAGGAGTGTTTCAGGTTAAAAACATAAAAAAACAAATTCTAATCTTGAGAAAACTTTACTGTCTATGTTTGATGTTAGAATAAAAAGTTAAATCTCTTTTTTGGCACTATTTGTTGCCTGGGTTTATTACTGCACCCCCTGCATCCTCCAAGTTTTCGACCTCCTGGAGCAGCCGAGCACTTTTTTTTAAGCAAAACGGAAAACTGCAATTGCACCCCCACCCCTACCCTCTGCCTCCCTCCTTTTCCCCACCCTGCTTTTATGCTACGGGCCTGTATATGGTATGGTATGGTACCCATTTTCTAACTTTAACTCCTCATTATTCCCCGCTCACTATCCAGCCCCAGGCTTTTTGTGATTCCTTTCAGAAACACACAAACATCACTTACTTCATCTGCAAAATGGGCTCTGCTGGCTGCAGGTTTTCATCAAAAACTTCAACATGAAGCCAAATTAGAAGTCTTGTTGTCGAAACACAATAGTGGCATAATGAGTTTTTCTTACTAATAGGCTCTGTGATAAAAGGAGAACAGTTATGGGGTTGGCAGAAGTGTGCTGAGAGCTTTGACTTTGGTTAAGGAGATGGGTTACATGAGGAGAGACACGAGGCACTAGATGAAGTTGAAAGTGTGGAAATGGTTTTGTTAATGTTGATTCGAGCTCTTAAAAGGTGTCCTCAGAAAGGAGAACAATTACCCTGTTTTCCAAGGAGATGTCATTAAGATGCTGCATTTAATGAATCCCATTTATCATGCACACTGAGTGGAGCCACATGCAGGTACTGAGGATCTTTAATTAGACTCTTTTTAACCAATCAAAATCCTTAACTGCATCCACTTCCACACACACAATCCACTATCTGTTTCCATGGCACCTATAGAGAGACTGCTGCCCTGCCAGAGCCCAGCTGCTGAGCTGAAACCGGATCTCAGCAGGAATGTGTGCGCTGTTGTAAATTCTGGGTTTGGAGCACATTTTTGATTGGTTGCAGCGGTTCTTGGCTCCCCCCGTTTCGTGCTGGGAGACAGCACCCTGGGATTTATAAATGAAATGTGTTCCATCGGCTTGTTGGTCCAGCTGGTTGAAATAACTTGTCGATGATTTATAATTACCAGCAGGGAGACATGAGACTCAAACATATTGCTGATGTCAATCGGAGCAGCCTAAAAAGAAGATTGAAAGAGTCGTTTTTCTCCAGAAATGTTCGGTAATTAGACACGTCAGAGCAGGAGAGAGAGCAGGGCCCGACTCAGCAAGATCTAAATGAGACGGGTACGACGAGTCTGAGTCAGGCCTGAGCTGAGAGCAGCAGCTGGAGTGATAGATCGTTGAAAAGGCCTAAATGCAGCTTTGTCTCCTAAAATCTCCTGTAAACATTACCAACTATAAAGCTCCTCTGAGAAACTTTTTGTTTATTGATTGTGGCGCCCCCTGTGGACAAAGTGATGTGGAAAAATCTGTCTTCTCAGTCAGAAGTATCACTCGTGATGATTATAATTACCCTTACCCTCAAAATAAAATATCAGTTTTTAGTTTTTTTTCTTGTGTGCTTTTGTCGTGTCAGTTCATTAAAGCTATGTTCACACTGCAGGTCAATTCCGATTTTTTAACCATATGTGACTCATATCTGATTTTTTCATGTAAGTGTGAACAGTGCAATTCAGATTTTTTCAAGTCCGACTCAGGCCTCTTTTGTATGTGGATATAAATCGGATATGTATCCGATGTGACTGCAGTGTGGACGCTCAGGTCACGTTCATCCGACCTATACGTCATCAATATGCGACAAACATCACCATTGTTCGACAACACAAACAGGCGCGGAAAGCAATTTGCGCATTGTGCGCATGCGGATCCTTCATGGACGCATTCAGTTCACATTAGATGTCGCATTCGTTGTTGTAATGTGAACAACTGCACAAAAAATTCGGATTTAACAAAAAATCAGAATTGTGCATCATAACCTTCAGTGTGAACGTAGCCTTAGTTCCTGACTATTTTTGTCAGAGGAGAAAAAGGAAGTCATTGCTGGGATCAAGTTTTGAAACTTTTTTAATTGATTGATTTTTAAAACTCTGAATCTGCTGGTTGTTTTTTAAGGTGAAGTGGGTGGATGTAGCTATCACTGTGTACTTTTGCACAGAAATGTGGACTTGGACTCAAATCAGACTCAAGCCACAAATTTGTCGACTTAAGACTTAAATCCACATCATCATACAGGACTTTCAACTCGGTGTGGACTTGAACACCAATGACTCGTGACCTCACTTTGTCTTGAGAGTTGTGATTTTACAATATTTGAGAATTTAAGTGTGTATGCTTTAAAAAAACGTCCCATCACTCCCCAAATTAACTCTTTCTAACCAAGATTGATGTTAATAAAAACTTATAAAGCAACAAGAACTAAAGTCAGAAAAACTTTTTTTCTTTTATTGAACTGAAAATACAAATGAACCCAAAATGAAGGGCCACGAAAAGTGTCCTTTGGTTTTTGTCTAAGGCCCTGTTCACACATGTGCAGATATTTTAAGTTTTTAGCCTCCTGTTAACTCTGAAATGAATCTTTAGGAAATCAGGTTTTAGAGAACGCTGTGATATTAAGAAATCAAAAGATTGTTTTAGTCTGACTTTCTGGATGAAAGTTGAGTCCCTGTGTTTCACCAGCGAACCCTCTTTTCACATCCATGTCATAACACTGTCTATAAAGTTATTTTTAACACCGGTCCTGCCTCTCACTCAGCAAATCAGCAACTGAACTGATGTTTTGAGTTTTTTCTACCCTTATTTGGTCTTAAAGTATCACATATCACAAAAACCTACACTGAACTAATAAAAACTAAACTTAGCTAAGCATTTTAAAAAAAAATAAAACTTAACCATTACAGCTAAACTTGCAAAGAAAGAGTCAAAGTGAAATCTAAATAAAAACTCATAAAAATTCCAAAACTGTTACAGCTTTGAGCAAATCTGGTTCATTCATCCACAGCCAGAAGGAAAAATTTCCCCCAGAATAATCTTTAATTTGAAGCATCTGACAACATCCAGTCAGGTTTGAGAGCAAAAGACGAGAAAGAGACCGTGTTACGTTGTTATCAGAGCCACTGAATGAATAACTGGTTAGCTCCAGCTGCACAAACATGCCACAAAAAAATCAGTGTTTGCAGTGACGGTAAACACATTTATCATGCTACATTAGATGTACTTGGTGGTCCCTGAAGGGAAAATTTGCTGTGACCAAAAGTGCAGCAAAAAGAAAAGATTACAACTTTTATGTAATAAATACAAAAAACAAGCAACAGGTAACATCAAAATAAATCAAGCCACCACCAAAGTACGAAGCAATAAAGTGACAGATTTGAAAAAAGTAAGAAAAAAAATTACAGATCAGATCTTTAATGAAAATCTGAAAGAAATTAAAACATGAGTAATAAACTGTATAAGAACTGGACTAACAGGATTCAAGTTCAGCTGTACTTATATACAACACTGCTACATTATTTCTGCTTAATTAGCTTCTTTTTAGTCTCAGTTTTCCTTCCTGTCCAGCATAAAGGGATACATTTCTTAATGAATGTTGAATACATTTTCTGTCTTTAATAAGTAGATTATAAATGTTTAAATGGCATTTCATTTTGGGGAAGAGCGCAAATGACTGTTTAAGACTGGAAATTCAAAGCTTAGGACTTTGGACTTGACTCAGGACTTGAGACTTTAAAAAACAATGCCTTTATCCCAGTTCTGCTTTTACACAACACAGTAGTCTCAATGATTCTTGTGATGCTGAAATTCTTTTTCTTTTTTACATTCTGATCATATTTTGGTCCATTTTAAGTCAAAATATTCAAAAGTTGGTAGGTTCAAATAACAGGTAGAGAGTTTACCTATAGTGAAACAGACTGAAATTGATGTATGATAAATAGACACAAACAGGACTATCAGGGACCAGATTTGCAATGTTTACACTGTACTATATAAGCAGGAGTAAGGGCTAAGCAAACACTTCTTTGTCCACAGGGGGCGCCAAAAATGACACAAGCTTAAAGTTCCTTACAGGAGCTTTAAGACTGCTAAAACTTCAACCACTGCAATGTGGTACTACTATGATCTATGAAATTGGTTTTGAGCAACTTGAGAAATAATATCCATAAGCTTCAAACTTAAAGCAGTACAATAAAGCTCAGTCCAAGATGCAAAAAGGATAAGTTGGAAAAAATAAAATCTAGCAAAACATTCACAAACTTGACTGAAATAATGCTTTACCTTTTTTTTTCACTTTCATTTTTGATTCCATTACCTTTATGCTTTCATTTGATTACAACTTGAAAAGTAGGACTATTATCATGATAAAGCATCTTGATATTACAGCAGCTGATAGGGGTTACTATCTAAATCACTTCAAAATGCCACTTTCACTGTTATTTTTATATTTTTAAGTACACAAACTGTTGCTCTTCCTCAATGTGAGCTCTGAAACTGAATGCGTTTCTGTCCCATGTTTTACAAAGCTTCTCTTTCCCCTCTGATCTCCCTCTAAACTTGTGGAATATTCCTCCCTGTTGCACATCTTACCCCTCTGTCCACTCCTGCACACTCTCGTCTCCCCCCTCCGTCTTCCCACACATGTTTTTTTGGGCCAGGCGGGTGGAGTGTGAGGATCTCACTGTTTATGTTTGAATGGCAGTGTGCGCTGAGCAATAGATGATGGTGTACAAAGCCTGCTGATCCTGCGGCTCGGAGAAAACTCTCTGATGTGGGGGAACATGAAAGAAGAGGGCAGCGGCTCGAGACCCAGAGTGATCCCTCACTATCATTAAATACTATCATCTAGAAGAGGTGGAGGAGAGGGGGAGGCAAGAGATACAGGGAGACAAGGCGTGTGCAGGAGCCCCAGTGGGTGGTCTGAATCTACACCCCTGCCCCCCCACTAACACATACTGGACTTTGGGATCCCACAGTCAGCAGAGCGTGCTGTTTTCCAGGGTGAAACGTGTGTTTAGAAATTTCCATGCAGCTTCTAATGTGTCTCAGTGGTGGACATTTTTAGCTCTTAAAACCCTGTGAGTGATGGCTTTGTTGTTGTGGTGGGTCCCGATCTTGGATGCATCTCTGCAGACCTCAAAGTAAGCCATTAATGATCGCGTGTATGGGAAAAAACTTCAGTTTAGCCTATTTTTTCTTTGCACCCTGAGTGTTTGAAAAGTTTTAAACTGCTCTCTGCAAGAATGACAAAATAAAAACTGTACTGCTTGATGACTGGGACATGTGCATAAGAAGATTTTCGCTCATACAGTCGCATGACAACACAGGAACCAATGCAATGGAGGGAATGAAGTTTTAGCTGCTAGGGGCGTTTTTTGCAAAAACTGCTTTCAAAAACCTTTTCTTGCGAATGTTTTCATATATAGTAAAATTTGCAAACACTGGACATTAAACAGCTGCTTACAAGAAATGTACATAACCCAAATGTTATGTTCAGGGTCATAAATTTCCATTAGATCATCCTGCATCTATACGATGCATGGAAACCAGAAGGGCACACACTTTTTACCCACTTCCAGCCCATTAAAAAAACCTACTGCACCATGAAATGAGATCAGATTTAACTGGAAGTTGATAAAAGAGGACTATTTTATTATGTTTGGAAGCCTGAAGGGTTCATTTGGCCCTAAAAAAGGACCCGGGGTTAGGTCTGTTGCATGCTATAGGATGCCCCTACAGGTTCAGGAGGGTTTGTCTCTTCTCTGTGAGATAACAGACAGGAGGAATGCCTGTGGGAAGGTAAAGGAAGAAAGGCCTCATATGAGTGGGTTAGGGGGCTTATTTTGATTTGTTTAAATGTAAGTGGATCTAAAAAGTAAACTTCTATACGTTTCTTTAATGCGGGTGACCATGACTCCCTGCTCCGTCAAAGCAATTAGACTTAAGATGCACGGATGAGAGGGCCTCAAAAGAGAAGTTCAAGGCTCAAGTTCAGCGCGTCTTAATGTCGCCAACCTAGCTGCTGGTAGGAGTCGTCACTTAGCGCAAACTAGGTTAGTCAGGTTAGAGGGGCAAACAGAGAGCAGGCGTGCTAATGTTAGCCAGTTACTGCTGGGACTGCTCATCGACTCTAAAAAACTGTAATACAGCGAGTTAACCCTCTGGAAAGATGAAGTTTGGAGTTGCATAACAAGCTAGTCTTTGTTTCAGGTCATAAAGTAAGAATGCACACAGCTTTATTTAAGGTGAACTATGCATAAAATCAAGGGAAAAAATACTTTAATGTCTTTTTTTATCCTCGAGAGGAAAATCTTATGCAGCAGTCTCACATAAAGAACAAAAAAGTACAACATTCAGAATTTTCCAGATTTATAGACGACTTTTAGGGAGACTTAATTACAGAGGTCACACAACAGAGACACAAAAATGGATCAACACTCCACACACCACAGACTGGATTTCTTGTAAAATAAGGGGAGGTTTCTCTCTTAGTTTTTTGTGTAGTGGAAGGACACTGAAAGGAGTCCTGCAGTCCCAGTCCCTGATAACACAATGTACACTGTAAAAACAACAAGTCAGGAAAACAGAAGTTAGCCCAAATGATGTAAGTCAATAGTTAGTTTTCATGTCATCTCAAGTTTTCCAACATTTTTATTCAATTGATTATTTATTTATTTATTTTTGTAATCAAAAAGACAAACTTCATTTTAAAGTTTCCCCAGAAGGTCCATGATTCAAATCCTGGTTCAGCCATTTATGACAATGAAATGCTGTGTGAGAATAAAATGCTAATTTATATAAATTAAATAATCTAAATGATTACAAGTAGCCTAAATTACATTGCAAAACATTTTTTTGAGTGAATGCAAATTCCTTCAACTTAAAAGGACACTAACTTTTTTATTTATTTTTTTAAGATTGCCAACTCTTTTTTTTTTTCACAGTGTTGTCATTTGCCCCCTTAAAAAAGCGTTAATTTTATCATCGTGTACCTCAAATATTCTTATATATATATATATATATATATATATATATATATATATATATATGTATTTAAAGGATATAAAAGTGAATTTTCTTTACCTTAGTTGCTGCCCTGTCGTTTCGTTTTTTTTTTACTTAAGCACAAATTCTGACATTGAAACTCTTAAAAAAAATGTTTGCACTTTATTCTTTTTATACTTGGTTCGTTTTGCTCACCTGTTTGCATCTTTTTGGTGAGTTTTATAAAGCTCAAATGCTGAATCTGACCCATCTTGGCAGTTGCAAAATACCCAATCTGTACCAAAGTGTCAGGCTGTGTAAAAAAAAAAAGAAAAAAGGAAAGAAAGAAAGAACTTCCTTTTTATAAGTTAATTGCAGCATTATTTTGAATCCACCAAACCAGGTTTTAATTGTAGTGAAGATTTCAGACTTATTTTGGAGGACGTTCTCAGACAGATTTAAACTGTCTAATTGAGTTGTTAAAACAATTTTTGCTCCGTTTATTTCTTGTCTTTTTCACACGCTTTACCGTCACCCACGGTTTAATCCTCTACTGTACGTTTTATTCTTAAGAAGGTTTCTAAAACAGACTTCTCTATCTCCTTTCCTTTCCTCTAGATCATCCTAAACTCCATGCACAAGTACCAGCCGCGGATCCACATCGTCAAGGCGGATGAAAACAACGGCTTCGGCTCCAAAAACACGGCCTTCTGCACTCACGTTTTCACGGAGACAGCCTTCATAGCAGTCACGTCCTACCAGAACCACAAGGTAAGTCCTGCAACGAGCTTTACTTTTTTACTTTTTTATTTTTTTCTCCTTTCTATTCTTTTATTGCAGCCTGTGACTCAGTAAAAAGGCATTTTTAAATTCATGGAGGCGATTTATGGGGCGATTTTGTTTTTACAATGTTTCCAACGTGGCAGAAAGTTCCAGAAATACAAACAGAGACACGTGTTGCGCATTTAAATCTGAGCCAAAATGCAGAGTAAGTACAGCTTCCTAGTCCCTTTATAGCAAAACAAAAAAAGTCATTTATATACAGAGAATGTGTCTTTATTTTATTTATTTATACGCCCATTTCTCTCGGTAAACGGGGAGTGTTGATGGCAGGAGAGAGAATGAAAGGCAGAGCTCTTCAGTGAGGTTGAAGTGAAGCCTTGTCCCTGTCAGCTGAAAATCTCTGATATCACATTGAGTCACTGACAGACGAGGGAAAACTTAAGATAGCTGACTAGACGACGTCTGACCTCAAGGGACTTTTTTTTCTGAAAGATCCAGGCCTGCAGCGCTTTGTAGCGAGAGAGCAGCCTCAGATAAACGGATCAACCTCTGGCGTCAAAGTTTCAGTCCCCCTGAAAAACAAAGTACCCGGAAAAAACGAGTTACTTTCATTGACGAGAAACACACTAATCTATTATTGTTATTATTATTATTATTATTATTATTATTATTATTATTATTATTATTGAACAGTCCAGTAATTAGCTTATTTGGATAATCTCCTTCTGCTGGGCACGTTTTAAAAACCTGTTATACGTGACTATTTTTTTTAATTGACTCAACTTATTTTTTTTTTATATAATGAATTATTTATCTCAACAATCAAGTTTATTTCCCTTATTCTCTAAAACAGCAATTTTCGTGTTAGCAAAAATATAATAATAAAAAAAACGAGAGGAAGAAACCGGAAGTTGACGCTACATGTAAGATTTGATATTTTGGAAATGCTCTGCTCGGTAAATGGGCCTTTTGTGTCTGTAACTTGAGTTTTAACCTTTATCTTCACAATCAGTTTTATTTCCCTTATTCTCCAAAACAGCAATTAACGTGTTAGCTAAAAATAAATCAATGAAAAAAAAAAAAAAAAACGAGAGGAAGAAACCGGAAGTAGACGCTTCATGTGAGAGCTGATATTTTGGAAATGCTCTGCTTGGTAAATGGGCCTTTTGTGTCTGTAACTTCATTTTTAACTTTTTTTTTTTTTTTTTTTGCTTGTTTGTTTGTAAGTTTCGAGGCTTCAATAAACAGAGAAATAAATTGTAATGTTGCTACCTCATCATTTAGTGTACAGGAACCTCTAAGATTTAATTTTTTTCCCTTAAATTTTTTGGAAACAGGTAACTATCAGCTAGAAATGAATGCTGTAACTCAAATCTTGGATTTCTTTAGGCCAGGTAGTCTCACGGTTTATATGTTGCGTGTTAAAACTTGTGGGGGAAAAGGCAGTAATAAAGGTCAGTATTTACTCTGCGCACATTTCTGGGGCTGGTAAAAATCTTGGGAATACAGATATGTGTAAACAGCGTCTGTTTAACGTCATTTAACCGTGTGGGCCTATATGTTTTTAGTTTGGGGAGTACTGGGAGTAAAGGGGCGAAAGCTCGTAATGTCCCCACAGCCAATCACGGCGCTCGCGTGCTTCTGGGAACAGGAAGCGCAAATGACCGACATGCTGTAGAAGCCATTCATTATTTTTCAAACATCTTATTGGGGGCTGAGATCGTAACCCCCGGGCTAATTATTGGGGCTTTCCAGACGTGCAGAAAAACAAGCATTTTGTGATTTCCAGGCCTTTTACCACAACTGTCTAATCAAACAGTCGAACATCTGTGGGAGCAATAAGAGCCGCAGGCATGAGTCGAGTTCACCTGTTGGACTCTCAGCTAATGAAAAGGGTTCAAGTCTCTGGTTTCAGGTTTTCCTGTCGCAAATGTAACAGAAACTTTTTTCCATACTGTTTTCTGAAAAGACAAAAAAGTTTAAAGCGACTCCTTTCCTCATAAGTTATATTTGATACATCTTGTTTTCGCTTCTGCAGGCTGAAATAGCTCAAAGCATATACATTTCTATAGGCCTCAGTTATTTTAATTGGCATGTTTTGGATCTAGCGAAACTAAGCCGCTTTTGAAGTTGTGGATCGTTTTTAACGTACAACCAAATTTATTTTTAACAGCATTCTTGTACAATAAGTTCAATCTTTTCTGCAGAAAAACAGCACAATGTTCTGCAAAATGTCACATTTTCCTCCCTTGTGGAGTTAAATCAGGCTATCACTTTGGAAAGGCTCAGTGTTTGTCTAGTTTTATGTCCTCTTGGATCGCCCGCAGAGGGTAACAGGAGTTCAAAGTGGCTCTGAACTTGTTATTCCAAACTTTTTAAAAGAGATGAAACAATATATAAAAGCTCTGCCAGGGCAGTGCACATTAACAAGAAGCTATAGAGTCAAGTGTCACACGAGAGATTTTACAAGGTTTGGTCAGAGTGTCAGCCAGCGTGCAGACTCAAACCTCCAGTCTTGTCAGGAAGCCGGAGGAGCTGCCAGCTAATTACCTGCCAGAAACCGCTGCTCATGAGAGGGATCCCCCCCGGATTGTGTGGAGTCTCATCGGGATTAATTTATTCTTTCAGGGTGGCTTCCTGCACTTTATTCTTACATGATATTTACAGAGACATTTATTACCAAAACACCAAGTCAGGTAATTAATCACTTTATTTGCATCTGTCAAACAGGATCCAACTATCTGTTTTTGCCAAAAGCTGTCAGATCAGATGTAACTTTATAAATTATGAAATGAAAATATGTCTTCAGGCATGCTTTTATTCAGTCATTTCTTGAAGGAGCCCTCGAAGCCTCTTAAATTTCTGAAAAGCTTTCGTTTTTCCCTCTTGGGTTGAGAAAAATACTTCAAAATAAGGCGTTAGAAAAACACCTCCTAATATTTTCATCATATCAGCTTCATGCCGAAAAAGATCCTGCAAGCTTCTTTAAAAGTTTTCTTTGAAAAAAGATGCACATGTGAGTGGAATTTAATTAAGTTTTTAAATTAGTTTAGGATGTTGTAATAAAGTTGCACATCCTGCACAACAAAAGGTTCCTAATGCATAGCATGTTAGTAATTAAGTGTTTTTGTTTTTTTCCAGATAACTCAGCTTAAGATCGAGAACAACCCATTTGCAAAAGGCTTTCGTGGAAGTGACGACATGGAGCTGCACCGGATGTCCCGCATGCAAAGGTGGCTTTGAGTTGATGTTTTATTTTGAAGGATGTTTGCATTTCAGTGACCTGTCTTTAATTGATCCCGGTTTCTGACACTCGGAAATACTTACACCAGCTGAGTGATGTCGAACGAGTTGGATAAATGTTGCAGGGATTACTGACATCCTGGTCACACTGTCACTTAACAAGCCCCTTAACTTTAATCCTTCAATCATCGAAACGCGAGCCAGTTGTGAGTGTTATTTTCAGTGAGTGTTATTCTCAGTGATGTAAGTGTAGCTCTTGATCTGCGGCCAGATTTCATGCTCAAGACTTTTATGGCTGATCTGGCAGGACCTCTGAGACACAACTGCAACATCTCCTTTCCATAAGGCCATTTTTGCAAGGATGTTCCAACTGCTTTTGTGTGTGTGTGTGTGTGTGTGTGTGTGTGTGTGTGTGTGTGTGTGTGTGTGTGTGTGTGTGTGTGTGTGTGTGTGTGTGTGTGTGTGTGTGTGTGTGTGTGTGTTTGAAACCAGTGGTATCGATTGGTCCGGCAGCCAAGGCAGAACACGACCACATTGCTCTCTCGCTGTTATTCAGTCCAGATGAGGGATGGAGCATGCGTCCGTGCTGTGTGGAAAACACATTTTCAAAGGAGAAAATCTGGTTTTGAAAACTCAAAGCCCACCCTCCCCCACCCCTCATTTATGCAGCTGATACAGGCATTGTGTATTCTGTTGTTAAAAAACCCAAATCGGCGAAAAAAAAGGAAAAAAAAAAAACAGTGGAAAAGCTGTTTGGCTTTCGGACAAGGTGCTAAAATCCAACCTCCTTCCCATAACCTTTCAGTCCGAGCCAGAGAGTACAGATCTTTGTAATTAAGCATCTCAGATTAATGTCATGGCTTATTATGTAGAGCAAAAGCCTTGGAAATCATGAGGTACATTTCCTTCACTTTAAGGCTTAAAACGGCACATTTGATTGTATCAGACACACGTTAAGTAACTTTAAGTAGGTGCACGCCACAATTTAATATGACATTTTGAGTGAAATGCATTTCATCTATCAAAACTAGCGAATGCAAAGAGCATGGTGAAAGTCCAAACCACACTATCAATCTTACTTGCCTTTGTCCAATCCTGCCGAGTACAGTGAAAGCTACGCACGTCTGCTCCTGGTTACATTCTTGAAGGGAGGGCTTATTGCAAAACCAGGTCACTGTTTCAACCGAGGCGATCCCCTGAAATCAAAGAAGCAAAAGTAGCAAAATGATCTATTGACGGATGCTGGGGTTTAATCGGAGTGAAACATGCTGGCGTGTGGAGTGGAAAGTGGTTTTCCCCCAAGATGAGGGTCTCTCTGTGTGTCCAAGTACAGAATTAAACCTCAAATTTGGCTGCTTATTTGTCTTTTATGAACTGTAAATGATTGTTACTGTGTTTTTTTTTCTGTGTGTGTGAATATAGCACCAAGGAGTATCCAGTGGTACCTCGCAGTACAGTGCGTCAAAGAGTGGGCTCAAGCCAAAGCCCGTTTAGCGGGGACGTCCAGGGCATGGCCACCCCGAGCACCCTGAGCTCCCAGTACTCCCAGTGTGAGAACGGGGTCACCAGCACCTCACAGGACATGCTGCCTCAGTCGGGTTCATACCCACTGCCACACGAGCATGGCCAGGAGTACCACTGCATCAAGAGGAAAGGTAGTATACTGAAATCAGACAAACACAACTCTCTGGTGCAGTCATATTGGAAATATCTTGATAACATGAAAAGAAAAAGTGCACTTTTAATTTCAAAAGTGGTGATTTGAAGCCTTGTTGGTTGTGCATCTTCAACTAGCTTTAACGTTTCAGACAAAACTCTGTTTGATCTGCGTTTATGAACTCATTTATTCACATTAGATGAAGTAAATCATATTAATACAAAATTCAAAATACTCCAGAATTTACCAGATGTTACAGATTACCTTCCAAAGTCCCACTCTCCCTTTTTTGTTACTCATATGCCAAAATAAACTTGTTCCCCAGCGTGAGTATCAAACCCACCTTCAAATCATACTGCTCTTAGTAGAGTTGCATGGAATAGATAGGGTGACCATGTGTCCTCTTTTACTTGGACATGTCCTCTTTTTTGGGGGCTGTCCAGGCTGTCTGGGTTTGTCCGGGGAAGTTTATAAAATCCTTCAAATATCCGTGGTTTTGTTCGTATGTTTCAATTTTGTGTCACATGGACTTACTGAGTTAGAAGCGCATAAAATACACTCGATCCGACCCGAAAAACTCTCAGAATGAACTTCGTACCACTGCGTGACTCCGCCCTCGTATAGTTGTGTCCTCTTTTTATGAAGTCAGAATATGGTCACCCTATAACAGATGATCCAAAAATGTTCAGTTAATTTAGAGGCAGTCTTCAAATTTATTTTGCATAAATGACATTAAAGCTTCTATATGGAGTTTCCAGAGACAACATTGATGATTTTAATATAATGAATTGTAATGCCTGAAACCTGTAAAAGGGGGGTAGATGTCAGTCAAGTAGCTGAGGAGAGACAACCCTGTTTAAATTTCTATATAAAATATTCCCATTAGCTGATATATGTGACTGTCAAAAGTTGACAGGATGAGTTTACACTGTTGAGTATACTGTTTAAGAATGTATAGGAGATAAGTAATTACTGTTTTTTCCACAGGGGGCGCCAAAATTGACACAAACCTAAAGTTCCTCACAGGAGCTTTAATTTTTAAAACGTTCAAAATATGTCATGAATCTTTAACCATGAAAAGATAAATAAATACTCCTGCAGTTGTTGTTTGTTATCTCCGTTAAAGTTTGTTAGAGGTTGGTCAATTCAAGTTTAATTACTCTTAAAAAACAATTATAAAACATGAAGATCACTTCTTACCCCTATGAGTGACACGGTTATTTCCCACTGTGTGTCTGCAGTAGAGGATGACTGTCACTCAGGTGAGCACAGCTATAAGAAGTCCTACCTGGAGAGCTCGTCCAGTGAGGAGGACCATTACTACCGTCCTGTCAGCTACGCCCAGAGCCTCGGCTTGGCTGGCGGTCCGTACCGCAGTGAATCCAGCCAACGGCAGGCCTGCATGTACGCCAGCCCCTCGCAGGGTGCCGAGCCTGTTCCTAGTTTGGAGGACATCAGCTGCAACACGTGGGCTAGCGTTTCACCGTACGGGAGCTGCTCCGTCACCACCATGCAGCCGATGGAGAGGCTGCCTTACCAACACTTCTCAGCTCACTTCACCTCAGGGTCTCTGGTGTCCAGACTCGGCGGGGTGGGGGGCCACGCCTCTCCGCAGCTGGCCGACGGCCACCACCCGGCCATGTACCAGAGCTCCATGACCCACCAGACTCTGGGCCGCCAGTGCAGCCCTGGGGCAGGGATCCAGTCGCCAACAGCCGGCCTGCAGGGAAACGAGTACCTCTATACACATGGCATACCACGTACACTATCCCCACACCAGTACCACACGGTACATAGTGTCAGCATCATGCCTGAGTGGAACGAGAACAGCTAAATAACTTTTTACACTCAGAATAGGTCAGAATATAAAGGAAAGCAACATAAAGGACCAAAATAAGGCAGGGTTTAGAGGAATCTATATTTATATTTTGTAGAGGATGTGTTACTGATCATCTTAATAAGATCAGTGTTATCTCACTGACAGCAGTGGATATTTGTAAGACTGTGTTAAAAAGGAAAGCAAGCATCTTATCACTTAATATCTTGTGACAGCATCTGCACTTATATGCAAAAACATTAGCATGAACAAAAAGGAGCTGGACCGGAAGAGAAATGAAAAGACTGCCCATGTGCAGACAAACTGAGGACAAGGCGAATTCAGACACCGGAGAGAAGAAGATTTCGCGTCACATGCTTCGCCAGACGACCCCATATTGATGACGTCTTTGTGCAGTGATGGTTTTTGGATGTTAATGTTTCAAAGACAAAGTGAATTTCTTTGGACAAAACTCTTGTTTATGGTCATGTCCCCGGATGTTTGTAGAGAAAAAAGGATATTTGTCTTCTGCAGAATTTTTTTAAAAGTTCTCATTTCTTGGTTTGGTAGTTAACGTGCATAAAAACACTAAAGCAGACAGGACTTTTCTCAATGTCTATGCTGAAATTTCTTGCTCTTAAGTCTTTCAGAGGGGTGAAATTTCCCTTCTTGTCGACAAGTACATTTACATTCATACTAGGAAAGCACTTCTGCAGAATAGACAATATGGACATAACAATTATTGATAAGGCAGCAAAGAATACAATACTAACCCCAGCCATGTTTTTAATCTATCCGTGCCACTAAGATCAGAGATCTAATGACTGATTTATGTCCACAACCAGCTCATAACAACATTAGCCAAAATCCCAATAAACCAATTATTTCCTCATGTTTCCAGAAACACTTCAACAAAATGAACGAGGCACCAGCTAGCTTCACATTATGTTTTTATAAGGTGATAATATGTCAAATCTGTGGGTTAGTTACCTTGTTATGTCGGCAATTTGCCCCCTAGTGGCCTAAAAAATCTTGACTACGACTTTTACATTTTTAAACATTTGACAAAAGGAGTGCGATTGTCAGTGTGTTAACTATTATTTCAAATGACACCAGTTTTAAGGGCAGTGCTAGATGAGACAGGTTTAACGCTGTATCTTTAAGAAGCAAAACAATCAATTACTCAAATAGACCATTTTTTAGACAGTGAATTACAGATTTGAATCTTATTTTTAAAAGACAAACATTTTGAATAGTCACATTGTATTCTGCCAGTTGTAAAGCATTTAAAGCTGGTTTTGTTGAGTGCCATGAGGGTCAGTTTTCAGCTTTTGCCTGACAACTTTTGGAGGTACAAGATAAAATTCACAACCAATAAACCATCAAAAACTCTGTTAAAAGTTAGATTAAACAGTCCCATTACTGAAAATACAATCCAGATAAAAACATGAATATATTAAATTAATCAAAAAAGAGCAATCCTATAAAAATGGAAATGTTCCACTTGGCAGTGAAATAAAAGATCCATTATTACATTTTTTTTTTTATTACTGAAATGAACTGGCTCTAGTAGAGACAGATTTAAAACTGGGCATTACAGGACTATTCAACAAATGTGGTTTTAGCTCTAAATGTGTTTGTTTGATGTCGATATGATGAACCGTGTTTTCCAAGTCCTGACATTCAAAGATGGGTTGTTGTTGTTCCGCACTGCTTCAGGATCTTTCCACAGTCTGTGTGTTGTGCAATATCATTTGCTTGGATTATACAACATAACACACTCGCTGACTCCCCTGTGTGTGCAGCTGATTTAGTTCGACCAAAGCTCTTCGCCATAGTCTGGTCGCTTTCTCTCAGCAAAGGTTTGTCTTTGTGTTTCATGCCGCCTTGGTGCATTCACTGTATGTGCCGTATAATGACTGCGCCTCATTCCCACAGTCAAACCAGCGCAGCCTGAAGATTAGCAGAGGAACTCCACATGGAAAGTCAACCCTAAAAAACGACAGATTTTACGTTATAAACACGTGAAGCAAAGATCTGAAGAGTGTCTGTTGGAGGTTTGTTTTTACATGTGGACAAAGGCGAATTTTAAAACGCTTGTAGTTGATAAAATACTACCTGTGAGTAGTGTTCATTTTTCAACTCCATAAATCAGCTTGCTTCTGCATGTATCAAAGATAGATGGTCCCATTTCTTTTTTTTATAGCCTGTTTTTATGATGATTGTTTATAGGATTTTTCTAATCATACTAATATAGAAAAACAGGAGAACACTATACAGCTGTCAAAAAGTACAGAAATAAGAAAGAAACACATGGGTAACTTTGTAAATAAACATGTACATAACAGAATACCTGCAATAAATTTGAAAACATTAAACTTAAGTCAATTCTGTCTTTCTTTCTGAATAAAATTATACTTTTTTTCCAGGTTTAACCTCTTATTTGAGAGTGATGAATATCTCAGTGATTTATTCAGCACCTGTCCTGCAGAGACAAATTGCAGCTTTATATTCCTATACCCAAAAATAGATCTCTTATGTTTAAGCTTAAGCATCTTAGCTAATAATCAATATTGGGGACATTTAAAGCTCCTGTAAAGAAGTTTTTGTTGGTGTTGATTTTGGCACCATCTGTGGACAAACCAATACCGCTTACCACTGCTGATTTTGTCTCTCTTTAAGATATTTTTGAACAAAGACCATATTGGTGGCATGTAGTTAATCACTTGATCTGACGCCTACCCCTGGCAGCAGTATTATTCATTAAAACTACAAAAAAGAGACTTAATTATTAGTTGACTATGATCATATTTGTTTTTGTGGCTCATGAAGATGCAACAGCATCAATTTCAGTCCATTCAAAAAAAAAAAATTCCATACAGGAGCTTTAATATCAGCTCTATTGATAACTGAATATACAGTATGATAGCATGTCAAATTTACATATTTAAAGTCTGAACACACATGGTAGTAGGTAGGACATTTTGGTAGTAGTGCATTAATGTTTTCTGGTGTAAAGTCAGAACCCTTTTCATCAGTATTTTGGGGCTTTAACGCCTTTATCTAGAGGATTGGACAGGCTACTGTAGGAAACTGGGAAGAGAATAAGGAATAACATGCAGCACGGTGTCAGATTTCAACCTGAGATACTCACTTAGAGGAGTAGAGCTTCTGTGCGCGGGCTCACAATTTAACCACTGAGCCAAACCAGCACCAGTGACAGAAAGGTTGGAGTTTGGAGTTGTCCATATTTCAACATTTTACATTTTTACTGCCTCGCCCATCTCCCAACCCGAGCAGAGGTCTAATAATCACCTGTGCGGATATGCAGAGCATCAGACTATTTGTGTTTAATAACCAGATGTTGTTTGCCTTTGCAAAAACAACCCAAGAGCCAAATGAACATCAGACTGTTTGTGAAAGGTAATTAGATTTCATTGTTCCCAGCATCCCTTTGTCCAGTACATAATCCAAGGGATTAAATGTCTGCTGTCTAGACAACCTCCCTACCCTGCCCTTCTTAAGACCCACAACCCCTAATAAATCTCATGAATGTTGGCGTTAAACAAATGTAAATTCACAGTAAATAACACCACTACTGTGCTGGTTAGAGTCTTACATTGTGTTGCACATCAGGCTTAAACTAAGTAAGTGATTTTACAACATTTGTTGTCATGGAGACTTGTCATTTTTAACTCTTTTAAGCTTGACAGTGGTATAAGGATTTCTGAAAGAGCAGATCGAGCACCGTCTTCGAATCTGGAGTCCCTACAAATGGCTGCTTGATCAAGTTATTTCAATTTATACAAACCTTAACCTACAAAGTCACTGTGTGTTAATATCACAGTTTACTGTTTTATGTCATTATTACTGTTTCTATTTCATTCATGGTCTCATCTCTAAAGGCTGCAGGTTTGAGTAGGGCTGCAAGTCACCAACAGTTCGACCTGCTTTGGCCTCACATGGTGTTGTTTTTCCCGCAGACCCTAAAGCCACAAACCAAAAACACACTACATTTTTATAAAGACTCTGTGACAAGGCTGTCAAAATGTTTAATATATGGGTACTTTTCATTGTCACATACTTTGAAACGAAGCAAATGAGTAAATTTGTTGCATCAAAAATGACCAAAGCCCATTAAAAACAGATCTCAGGACATATTTTTCACCTAAAGCTGCTGCAAGAGAGAAAGAAGCAGTTGTCGACCAGCACTGAGATAAATAAAAAATGATAGTGGGTCTTTATGCGTCTTTCATTACAGTCAACAGTATTTCAATCATTTACTCTTGTTTCATAAATCTTCAAATACAACCCTAGTTCCAAAAGAGTTGGTTCACAATGTAAAATATTGATATAGTGAGACTGGTTTGCCAATTATTAAAGTCTACATGTAACTGACAGCAATGTAAAAACAACAAATCAAATGGTAAAACTCAAAACTGCATTGTTTTATAAAGAATAAATTTAATTTTGAACTTCATGCCTACTGTGTGGAAGTGTGGGGGAACACATACAAAACAAACATGGAAACAATATACAAACTCCAAAAAAGAGCAATAAAAAAAGTAAATAAAAGGACCTACAGAGAACCATCAAACCCACTCTTCATCAAACAGAAGGCACTTAAGTTCAAGGATTTGGTCGACCTCAAAACAATTCAGATCATGTACAAAGCAAATTAGGATCAGTTAACCACAGAGCATCCAAAAGTTGTCTCAAATAAGAGAAAACAAACATAATCTCAGGGAAATGTGCATTTTTAAAAAACAACCTGTACGTACCAACACAAAAATGTACTGTATATCAGACAAAGGAGGTAATCTGTGGAACAGCTGCAGCAAAGAAATGAAAATCAGCAGATCACTAAGCAAGTTCAAACTTATTTTTATAAACCACATTCTGAGTGGATATAAGAGAGAAATGGAAACATGAATTTATAACATTGGGCAAAGTGCCTTTTTTCTGATATATTTTCTTTCCTCTGTGCTGTTATTCTACACATGCTCTGACTGAGTAAA